TTAGAGTTGAGGAAGAATCCCTATTTACCAGTCTAACACTATATCCAAAAAGGTCTTTATTTATACTTTACTGAAAACTTAACTTTTTGAACCTTGTTTTTAATTCCGTTTTTTTCGCGTTCGCAGAAATCTGGCCAAAATGATTTTAAGTTGTTTCATCCTAGGCGACACTCAATTATTTAAAATTGTTCTTGGAGAAAAGATTACAGTCAAAGATCATTTAATCCCTTATGAAAATTTTGATGTTGCATTTCTCAAATACTACATCTATGAGGAGAGAAAAGATGTTATTAGTAACTTTAAAATGGATCTTTGGAAGGTTGAGATTGTGGAAACTAATGAAATCAGAGAAAAACTTCAAAATATTGAAACTGACGTTCAAAGAGAATTCGGAGGTTTTAAGTTGCTTGAAACTCGTTTGATTAATAGTATATTCATAAATGACCCTCCAAAGGAGCGCATCCATATCATCGTGCAACCACTCTCCACCACTGGTAAGTGTCTCCCAATTTTTATCTCAAACAAGATATTTGCAGTTATCTCATTCTTTTATTCGATCAGGAAAAAGAAAACTAGAAGGAACAGACGAGAAAAATGAAGGCCAAGAAAGTAAAAAAGTGAAACTAGTGGGTGTGTATAATTTTTAGAATTTCATTTTAAAACCGAACATCAAGTTTATGTTGTGTGATTTTCTTTCAGAGATTGAGCTTGATGTATCATCTTAACATTCATAATTATTTCTTAGCAACTGCTAATAAAATCATGGAGGGTATAATGAAACTTTCCGATACTTGTGAAGTTTACTCAGACCCGAAAAATTTCCTTTTATTACCTTTCCCATATCCCGGTGAAGTTAAACCAGTAGATAGGTTTGCTATTAATGATGATGGCTTTTTCACCTTCATGGGAAGAAAGAAATTCAGTGATGTTTTAAGTGAAATCATCACTTTAAAAGCTGGTACCGGTTATATGAAAATGTTTATTTATGGCACGGTTGGGTATGGAAAATCTCACATTCTCACAGCAATAGCTTGCTTTCTTCTCCGGAGCGGAAAGCGTGTTGTATATCTTCCCGATTGTCGTGAACTGGCTGTAGACCCAATAAAATACGTTAAATCAGCCTTATTTCTCACCTACGTGAATGATGATGCGAAAATAAACGAAATTAATACCTTTAAAAGTTTTGATCAAATTATAGAATTTTGTTATTCATTAGTTGAAAAGTTATATTTTATTGTAGATCAAATGAATGCTCTGGACGAATATAATGATACTGGAATTAACACAAATTTAAAGCAAAAAATTAAAGGGGATATTGA